GTAACCCGAGCTAGGTATAGAGTTAGAGTGCCTAAGTGATACACATGCCATGCGAGGGGGACAGCCAGAGCCAAACTATGGCCAATTCGTCGGAAGCAATCGGACTCAGGGTATCCTGGCAATTGCCCACATTCCGACAAGACCTCTGGGAAATCCTGCGGCAGAAAAACACCTGGACAGGCCCGTCTAAGGTTACCCCGGACAATGGAGAAGAAACGTCAGGGTCCGACATCTGCCATCAGCGTGGCTTGCTCCCGCTGTCGAGTCCACTTCTCGAGTCCGAATTCCGCTTTTACGTACGCCTGAGACAGTCAGCCCCGGACTGATGTAAGGCGGAGCGGGTTTCGAAAGATTGCGCAGCTGAGGCTGCCTCGAACCGGCCGAACATCTATCCAGTGGGGACGGAATGACTTCAACACATCTGTCGTTGGGAACGAGTATGAAGATCCACCGGGCCGGGAAAACTGCTGAACCTGGAGGCCTTGCGTACCGACAAGACTCACAAACAGCATGCTGGCCATATGATGTAGTTTGGATTGACATGTTCAGTCTTTCTCCCCGACCTTCTCTTCAGAAGGGCGGATCGCGTCGAACCCTGATCCTGGTATTTGGTCTCAGAAGGCACCACACCACACCATCACCATAATTGACATGGGTAATGGCCTTCCAGCAGATCCCGCACAAAGGCAGGAATAGCCACAGCCACGCTTGTTTCCTGACTTGGTGGTTCATTCGTCGCTTTATCCAGCACGATGTTTCCCTACTGAGCGGAAAGGACGAGTCGCGATAGCTTCAGCGATTTATCAGATGTTTTGGGACGACGACCCGGGCGGTCAGTCACACACATTTGCGTTTTGGAAGACGCAGCGTTGACCGGCCTGGTCATTTCGTAGCTATCCTACAATACTCGTAAGAAGTTGCAGGCTTTGAAAGATCCTTTCGACGCATTGTCTCAAGAAGTCCAAGATGATACGCGATTCGTCCAATATCCTCTCGATGCGTTGGTCACAGTAGGTGTGACCACTGGATGTGTCTATTCTTTATACAATGCGATACCGAGTTGGAGTCTACGGATTTTCCGATGCTAAAGACGGCAGTGGCATCTGCCTGCAAACGAAATCCTGAAGCGGAGTTGGTATCGCCAGTCTCGAAGAGTCGGCTTTTTCAGCTGCTCCCCACGGGGTGAATGTTGTGCTATCCACCGCAGACTGAGAAGGGATTCGGGATTCTCGGATTGTCCTCACAGAATTATTCTGCCTGACAAGCTCGGCAACTGTTTTTCTGGTTATCTGTGCCGAGACCGAGTAGGTTATGTATCTTGTCATGTCTGTCAGTTCTTCATGGTTCGAACGCGTCAACAAACAGCACCATCAGATGAATCGGCAAAACCGACAGCAACTGACTCTGACTTTAAGGAAGTTCCGTCATCTCACGTACGTACGCAGTCTGAAGGTCTGAGAATATGACCACTGCCGCTCCTGCCTCGGGCCAACCCGAAAATGCCGAGCAACATCCCGAACACGTGAAGCCGTATTCGGCCGCCGACCAGCGTTGAACGCAGAGCATCTCATCATCCTTTCCTCCCATCGCCGCCGTTGGGCGGAAATCTTATTCGGGATGCGAACGCTTCATCGCGCCTAAAGAGACGAAAGATGATTGCCGTTCTAGGCCGGCAGCTGCACGAGCTTAACCCCGATGGATGGTTTGGCCTGAGAGACGGCGAAAGACTGAGCGCTTCAGTCTTGAACATAAGACAAAAGGACTGGGCACCTAAGCTGCTAATGCAGTAGCCGTGAGCTCTATTGTCGGCGCGTCACTAGTGATATGTGACAAAAGAAACTGCCAAGTCTGTTGAGGAACGAGTTGCTGACAGCCGGCACGCTAATCCTACGACACTTGTGGAGGGAAGCACAGGAATAGGACGGAACTTCCCTCTAATGTCCCCCCTGCGAAGATCTTCAAATCAAAAATAAAACGTCACCTTCCTAGAATCCATAGAATTGGGAATAATACGTTCCGCTCCCAGCGTGATTCCAGAGAATAAGTGCCGCTCGTCCGCCGTTCCCAACCGGAAGGCTTCTAGAAAGCGTCCATACGACAGGCGCCTTTCCTAAAACGGTGGTCTGTTGCGTTGGTTAATAGGTGACCAGGTTTCAGAAACACCTATCGTCTTCGCATGGAATTCCGGTTTCACGCTCTCAGTTGGGAGCGACGCTTGGGCTTACCGTTTCGTCTGATGTTCCTCTCTCGCATCTTGTCAACAACAATTCGCACTCGCAATGACCGCCGACGGGGACGTATGCCGAACTGCGTTGACAGCTTCCCAACCCAAGGTTCGACAGGCCGGGTTCGACGGCACGCCGAACAGACATGAGGTGGGCTCATCTGCCATAGCCTCCCTTCATGTCCCCTCCTCCCCTTCATCCACCAACACATCATTCAATTGTATGCTTTGATCGAGCTGTCTTCTGTTCCTCTTACACCTCAAACTTCTCCAATTCTCCCCCAACCATGACTCGCAACGTCATCGCAGGTGCCATGTAACCCGGCGACGTCTCTCTCAATCAGCAGAATACCACCAACAAAACAAGCGGGGCGCTGGTTTTAGAGTTGAAACATATCATCGTTCACTGGCGGCTTCTTCCATCTTCTTCTGCCCACGAGGGGGACAGATCCGCCGGTTCCCACGCAGTCCACGGGTACAAGCGTCCTCGGCCGCTCTGACACATGTCTGGCCCTGTCTGCCCATTTTCCTTTTATTGCCGTAGGGAAGCACGTCCGCCTCCCTATTCCTCCCAAAATTTCCTACTTTGATAGGGGTTTCGCCCACATGACACACGGTCTGTCAAAACTAAACCCGTACACGTCGACCGGCATTGGAAATTTGGGGTCACTGCACAGAAGACTTTCCATCTTCCTCAACCCCACGCGCGAAGACGGACATAGAGACGCGCGTTACCACGGTACCATTGCATACTGCATCTCCCAGACAGGAACATGGTCAACACGGGACACCCGAGCAGGGCATGCAAGCTCTGCCGAGCGAGGAGAATCAAATGTGACGAGACCAAGCCATTTTGCTTGAAGTGCGCAAAATCAAAGAGAGTGTGTCCTGGGTATCGCGACGCATTCGAGATCAATCTCCGCGATGAGACGCAATCAACTATTCGAAAAGCCAAATCGGCAGCTTTGAGGAAAGCCATAAGGGAGGGACGCGCAACGGAACAGGACGCGGAGAATGAAAGTCCAGGTCAAAGCCAGAGTCAGAGCCAGAGTAAGGCGAAGGTACAGGAATGGACGCCGCCGGCACCACCACCGCCTCGAAAACAGCAAATTGTCGCCATCCCCGAAGACGACTGGTTCGACCGACACTCCATGTCTTCGGGGTCTTCCGACGTGTCACCATCCATGTCCTATGCGTCTTCGCTTTCGTACATCAGTAACCAGGCACCAGATACCTTTGTGTCTTTCAAGGAGTTGGAAGGGGGAACTTACGGGATGCCGCAAACGTTGCAGACACCGCTCGACCAACAGGCCACCTGCTTCTTCCTCGCAAACTACGTGCTCGCGCCTCCGACTGGTGTGGGCAGAGGAATCCTCACATTCGTGCTCCCGTTGTTGAATATCCCGAGTTACCAGTATTCCCCGCTACAATCGGCATTTTCCGCAGTGTCAATGGCAGCTTTGGCAGGAAGACCAAACTCGAGACGACTGTTTTCGATGGCACATCTCCATTACAGCAAAGCACTCGAAGATTTGACGCGAGCAATGCAAGACAAGGTTGCTGTGAGACAAGACACGACTCTCGCGTCTGCAATCTTGCTTGCGTTTTATGAAGGTCTGGTGTCAGACGACGTGGAAATGTCGGGATTCAAGAAGCACATCTCGGGAGCAACAGCTATTGTGAAGCTCCGCGGACCTCAGCAAACAGCGACTGGTGTGGGATTGAGCATGTTCGAATTTGTGCGAGCAACATCGGTAGGTCCTCATACGTGAGAAGCTTCATGCCCCTTTTGCTGACACACTCAGGTCCGACAATACACGTTCTTTGCAAACATCTCGCTGGAAGATTTGACGTGGTGGGCACGGCAAGCAGTCTGCGATACCGTCGGTCATCAGGCTCTCGTCTTGAACCTCCAGACTACAATGATTCGTGCGGAAGCCGACAGTCTGCTGAAAGGCGCGAGGACAACCGACAAAATCGACAAAGCTCTGAAGCTGCTCCAACGAGCTCGGAAAATGGACGACGAACTCGGGATTTGGTTCGACAAGTGTCCGCCAGCTTGGAGAAAGGGCATTTCGGGCTCCGCGATCGACGTGCCTGATGACAAGATTGGCCTTGTTTCAGCGTTCCCCGGGCCTATCTACGATTATCCTAACGTTTGGGCTGCAGGAAAGCACATCAACACCCACGTCTCTAGGTTGCTGCTTAACCAAGTCATCGTCCGCTGCATCGCGTGGGTATGCGCACCGAGCGATCACACCTTGACCAAGGAGTATATCGACGCCAATAAGATTGGCAAGGAGCAAGTCGCAGACATCATCTCGAGCACACCGTACTTCTTCGGGTGGACGGGTGATGCCCTCAGCACCCCGTACTTTCCCTGTGGGACGTCAGAGATGCCCAAGGGTCTAGCCGGCATCTCTTGTATGTGGCCACTTTTGGCGACTGGTTCGAGTCGATTTGCCACCAGAAGGCAGCGCATGTACGTCAAGGCCCGTCTTGCAAAGATTGCAGAAGAGATGGGCATCCGCCAAGCCGATGTTTTTTCAAAGGTAAGAACCACGGGTTTCCCCCAAAGTTTGCTGTGACAAGCCAGCTAACAAGCACAGCAAATTATGCTAGGTGCGCCGGAACCAGACCCAGCCAACAGTTATTGCCCTGACACTTATCTTCATTTACGTACATAGCTTAGCGTTGAAGAATCATACCCCTTTTGCGATGTGAATGGGCTTCGTTCTTTTCTATACCACTATTTTGCTGTCCACGGCTGGGATTTTCATAGTGTCCACCGAGGCAAGGTTGTTGAGTTGTCCCGGAAGTGCAGCGATGCCATGTTATTGTAGATGAGATTGAAGCTGTCGCCACGGAAGTCGTCTTTCAAGTACTGCGTGCGATCGCTGAAGAACCAAAGAAGCTGGTGATCCTCGCTCCACTTTGGCCACTTCGCATAGCCGCCTGTGCCGATGTTGGGATCCTGATTGTACAGAAAGTTGAGATAGTACGTCCTTGTACTTTGCCTCGCAAACGTCGGCAATACCCCGAGAAAAACCTGCACGATGTCCGACGCGTGAAAAGTGCCTAGAAGAGGAGTTCCGTAGCTGTAGCTGTTGAGATACGACCAAACCGGAACCGAAGGATATCTTGTCTTGGCTGCGTTCAAATACGAGCGTCGAGCTAGTGTAAATACGAGATCGCCCAAAATGGCCGCTCTTCGTTTGAATCCAGGGTAGATTTCGTTCAGGATACCTGTTCTGAACGGACTCCCCGACGAAATCCGGCGGTCGTAGGTGCTGACAAGGGTATTTAATTGGTCTCTAGACGCGTTGTGGAAGTAAAGATCGGACAAATAGTCGACTAGTTGGGAAGTTGTCGCGACTGTAGGCTGAAATAGGGCAAAAAGCGTGCCCTCATCCTCTTGGTTCCCGATGATCATGGGCACAGCCGCGTACCGCCCATCCCTAGCCAGAATGTCGGGACTATCTCTTAGCACGACACCATCCGGTCTTGGGACGTATGCGAGAGCGAGCGATTCGAACGAAAGAATACTCGGTACAGAAGCAGCCGCTTTCAGGAAAGTTTCGTAGCTGACGGATCGAAGACACTCCAGTGTATCGACAGAATCAGAACAACCAGCAGCTCGAGCCACAGTATCGTAGACAAGCTGCCCTTTGGGGCAATCAACAGGGTCTGCTGGGACAACACTTCCGGAGTTCATGATTGCTCCACGAAACAAGGGTCGTCCATTGTACTTGTTATCGCCATCGTACAGGGCCATCTGATCGAACACCGAAATTGCGCCGGCCGATTCGCCCCAGATAGTCACTCTGTCTGGATCACCCCCGAACACATCGATATTAGTCGCGAGCCATTCCAGAGCCATCCGTTGATCCAGAAGCCCGAGATTCGCGGCGCTGTCCTGGAGGATTTCTCTCCCGGGAAGAAAGCCGAAGCCTCCTAGACGATAGTTGACCCCAACAAACACGAACGGCTGCTTCAAGTCGATCGCATCGCGAACAAAGCTAGCGCCGTTATAAGAAGCTGTCGATCCAAATTCGAAGCCTCCTCCAAAGATCCAGAACATTACGGGCAGCTTAGAGTTGGGAGTAGTACCGGCTGGTCGTTGGACGGTCACCGTCAGACAGTCTTCCTGGCCGGTGATGGGCTGGAATATCGGAAGCGTGAGCAGCGATCCGAGGGCATCGAGAATGATATTGCGACTATCGGTAGAGAGCACAAACTGTGGACAGGCGGCAGCGGTACCAGACGCGTCGAACGTCCCTAAAGACCCGTTGAGCCTCTGAGGGGTTTCAGCCGTAGCGGACCGATGAGCGGCTTGGCGTAGGGAATACCGGCGAACGTCTCAACAGAGCCAAACGTTCGTCCAAGAAAAGTGCCAGCCCCGGTATCGACGGCAGGTTGGGCAGCGCGTGGATTGTGTTTGTGGTTCTCGGGGTTGGCCGCAATTAAGGGCGGAAGCACAAAAGATGCCAGTATCAATACAGAGAAAGACTTCATTCTGGCGGCAGGTTGCAAGGGTAGCTAGAGATAGACAGGTGTCGCGATGTTGGATTTGGAGAGGAAACGTGCCGTATTTGAGCAAAGCAAAGGACCAAGTATTCCAACAGAAGAAACATCGTCGTCGGTCGTGGGTCGAGGAGCGGTCTCCCTCTCAAGGCCGCTGGTTCCCCGACCGCACAAGACATTGTCTTGTAGAGACAGCGTTGCAATGGTGCTTCCGCCCGCTGATTCGGCCACAGCTACTAAGGGCAAGCGCGGCGGGGGGGTGAGGCTCAACTGGAATAGTCTCGCGAAAGACAAGCACGTGAAGGGATCAAGTCCAATCGGCGGACCGCTGATCGTGTGCCTCCCGAAGAATAAGAAAGCACCTAGCGTGGGTGACAGCGCTGTCATCTTGTGATTTGCAGATCTGACAGGCGACTGGCCGCGCTCACACACCACCGCGGACAGCTGCGCAGTGCAGCCATGCATGTCGGGAAGACTGCGTTAAGGCGCGGAACGGGCTAAGAGAACACTGAGATGTGATCAAAGTTGAGCCAGATATGGTCCCAAAGACAGGAACGCAGGCAGACGTTGCTCCAGCGGGAGCCGAGGGGGGACGATGCCGAATGCCCTTTTGGGGCATGTGGGTGGCAGGCAGAGGCCGACTGCCTGGAGGGGGGCCGACGCCATGTCGCATACGGGAAAGCGCATGTCTGTACGCTGGTTTCTGGTTAGGTAAGTGCACACAACACACGAGGTTATTCACGGCTATCCTTTCCAAGGTTGTCTTCAGCTGTCATCGCAAAGTTTCAGTTATTGAATGCCAAGCGGCCAAGCACTTCTTTCTTCCAAGAGGATACCGAATCCTCTCCTCCCATCTGCCTGCGCACGTCTCGAAAAGCAAAACCACCATGACGCTAGCCGTAGCTGAATGCCCGATGCCTCTTCATCCGTCTATCCCAAACACAAGTTTGAATCGTAACCCTCATCAATGTACTGTACTGTTTTCCCACAACTCCGACTGCTGAATGAGTCAAATGTCCGTATCTTCGACCGGTTGCTGACCCTCAGCACTGGAGAAAATGCCATGCTCAATCTTTAAACGCCTCGTGGCTTCGTTATGCAGAGATCAAATCGCCGCCATGCAACGTCTCTAGACGACTACTCCCACCTGCCCGTTTTCCTCGTCAACTAAACATCTCCGTTTCCCACTGAGAGGCATACCGTCGGGTGCCTCTTCCTCGAAGCTGCCGTTAAACACTTCGGCGAGGGCTTCGCGATCTCGGCGTCGCTTGAGCTTGTCGCTGCTCTGTTCCGCTTCTTCCTCCCATGTCTCCATGTTGTCCTCGTCAAAGTGTCCGACAATGTCTTGCCCAAGAACCTTGCCCAGCCGCTCCTTGAGTCCTAAAATTGGCCAGACTGGCACTCTGGTGTACTCGATGCGAATACCGCCGCCCTCGTTGGCCTCCTCCCCCATCCTCTCAGCAAGTGTCTTGCCAGCCCCGGCGCTGGGGTTCTTGGTTGGCTCGTGGAACTTGCGCAGCAGCTCCGCTGTCACCACACCCTTGTACACAATGAACTCGGATGCGTCGTTGTCGTTGGTCAAGATGTGAACTGTGACGTCGTGGAACTCTGGCTCTCCAAGCCCCAGAGACAGGGGCTTTGAGGGGAACCATTTATTCGCAGTAGGCTTGGGCTCCCCATAGAAGCGCCGCTGCGCCAGGGCAAGAATGATACCGACCAAGAGAGGATCGTGGTTCGGGTTGGGGGGGATGAACATCTTGGATCGCAATTGTTGCAAACGCTCGACTGGTCCGTTGTACGCACGGTTGGGGCCGGGTATCACGCGATACATGTTACGCCGTGTTGCGGCAACCGACGCTTTACCGATGTAAGCCAGAACTGGCTGAGTAAAAGGCGGATGCTGGCTGGCATTTCCACTGCTGGCTCCGTTGCTGCCGTTCGTGCCTGTAGGGACACCGAAAGACTCGGCAGGACGCGTCGATGCTGATTCGAATGAGGCGATTGAGCCGCTACGCGACGGTGTCGCGTCCCAAGCCACTTGCACGCGGCAAGTATCACGATAGACCAGACCACCAAAATAATGGTGGAGGTCAAGCTGTGTCCTGGCGCGGGACAACTTGCCGGGATAGAGGGTCGAAATGACGGTGCGTATCGAGTTGGTGTAGAAGGTTCTGTTGGATCCAGGGGCCAGCATGTTGGTGAGCTCGCGGCTCAAGGTTGTTGCCGCTGGAGAAGGCTTCATATGGCATCTTGAGGGCGAGACGGGGGTGCCGCGCGGTGACTGGGGGGGAACTGGAGTGTTGGAAGGAGGAAGTTCGACAAATCGCGCATCGAGAAGGCGAACGTGCAAGTCGGTCCAGCAGATGGGGCGCACGAACAGAGAGATGCCGGCGTGTTCCCACATGAGATCGTAGAGGGAACCTTCGTCAGGACTGTAGACGCGACATGTTCGTTTGCGCTTCGCAGGCGCGGTCATGGTCGGAATGGGACTTGAGGAGGGAGGGGTGGCGTGGATGGGTTCTGGCGACGACATTGTCGAAACGGTCGGCGCGCTGCTGGGGAGATCCATCTTGGCGATGGGTAAATCGGCGGTGTTGCGCAGATGTCCGAGGAAGCTGCTTCTATTGAACACTAATCTTTTCACTTGTTAGCATACTAGTAAACGCAGAAAGGAGGGTTGTTGCAAGGGATGGTAAAATCAACAGCGGCGAGTAGGACAGGACGGCGGCGACAACTATGGAAAGGATAGTCTTACTCTAAAATGAGCATCGATGTGTGGCGCACTCCCTTTCGTTCTTTTCGGGGCCTCTTGGGGGCCCTCTGTGCCTCTTGGGGGATCCCACGTTGGACGCGACTGTGGACGGTGGTGGTGGGTGATTGACAGGGCAGGAGCCGGGGGTTTAGTCGGCGGAACAGGGTGCGCGACGCGGTTTTTTGAGAGTCGCAGTGGGAAAGCGAAAGAGAAAAGAGGAGTCGATCCGCAAATGGTCGGAGAATACCCGTCTTGTATGCGACGTGACCAAGGTATTTGAGTAGCGTCGGTATGCGTCGCAAATCTGTTGAGATCGACGATGCGTTTGAAGCCAGCGCCGCAAAAAAAGAAATTCTCGCAATCCGGGGTGGTGCTTCGCTCGGAGAGAAGAGGGGGGCGCACGACGGAGGGAGCGAGGACGGGAGAAAGAGAAAAGAGGCGATGCGATCGATGCGCTGGTTGATGTGTGACGGAGTTGGTGGAGCTGAGGCGGTTGATGGGGGCTGAAGGTGGAATAGCAGGGAAAAAGGGTTGATCGTGGGAGAGCAGTGACTGCTGAAACGCGGGATGCGCGAGTCAAATAACAATCAATGGTGACCACGACTGACCACCCAGATTAAAGAAAAACTGGGAATGGCAGGAAGCACCTGGAGGTGAGGGTGTCAGTGGTGCCTGCCTGCCTAAAGCGCCCCGGGCCCCCGAAAACGGGCCAGACTTGCCCTATACAACGGTAGGGAGACCTTGTTGGTGGTGACGGTGACAGCGTTGTCACCGCTTCGCCTGCAGCCACGCCCCGCTCCGCTGCAAGCACTGCTGGACGGGGAGCGAAAGGGCGCGACTTGCCACCCTGCCGGGCCTGGTCAACGCCAACAACCTGACACGCCGGATGAGCGAAGTCATGTGATCCCAGGCACCAGCCCCCTCGCTTAGATGGTGGCCTGTGCCTTGGCCCGTGAGGTGGCCCGTGTGGCGTCTGCTGATGACAGGGAGCAGCAGCCTGAGTCATCATCAAGCAAGAATCCCGTGACTTGACTAGTCACGTGATTGTCGTACACCTGCGCCACCTTCCCCCCACGGCTGATGGCTGAAGCAGTGAACAGGAAGCTGAGGTCAATGCACCGCTGGCGGTGCAGTGAGAGCACAGGTGCGGTGGACGTCAGTCAAGCCCCACCACTCCTCCATCGGCCGCTGCTTCGTGCCTCAGTTGACGTCTCCCTATATTGCGCCCAACCAACCATCACGACCAGCTTCACTACCGACCGGACCAATCTCCTGGTCACGAAGCTGTCAAAATGCCGGTATGTCCAATCATCTTCCAACTGCCATCCAGCTCAAGCATGGTGGATGAAACGGCACCGCTCCCCCATCATCCATCGATTGCTAGCTTCCTTGGAGCTCACCCCCGGGCATGAACCGAAGCTGACGATACACCCATCCAGGCCTACAACTCCATGTTCAATGCCGACCCCAATGTCCCTCGATTAATAGGCAACTTCCCTCTTCTGCCACTCCGAACAAAGACCCGCGGTCCTGCCTACACCCTCCCCTTCCCGAACCCTCCTCTGCCTGCCAACGAGTCTCCCGACCCGGACAGCGAGAGCTACGACATCCTCGACGAGGTCCTCGCCCTCTTCCGCGCCAACACCTTCTTCCGCAACTTCGAGATCCAGGGCCCCGCCGACCGTCTGCTTGTCTACGGCATCTGGTTCGTCAGTGACTGCCTGACCAAGATCAAGCCCAGCGCTGGTGTCCGCGATGCTACCAAGGATGTCCTGAACCTCGCCCTCGACACCAACTTTGCCATTCCGGGCGACCCGGCCTTTCCCCTCAACCAGGTGCGACACACTGCTAAAATGACCCACTCCCGCTTCATCCACTGACAACTCACCGCTAGATGTACGAGCCTCCCCGCGACAGACAAGACGCCGAGCAGCTCCGACAGTACATGTCCCAGGTCCGTCAGGAGCTGGCGGCGCGCTTACTGGCGAGGGTCTTTGACGAGGGCGGTGATGGAAAGCCGAGCAAGTGGTGGCTGAGCTTCACCAAGAGAAAGTTCATGGGCAAGGCGCTGTAAAGAGGCTGTTCAATATCAAAAAGTCTCAGGGGGATGACGACCATCAGGAAGAACTCATTTTACGTGTTTGACTTTAGAGCGACCGGGCCAAAGATGATGCCATTATACTCTCATACGGCTCTGAAAGCCTCAATGGAGATGCCAGGGTATCTATATGCAAGCTGC